CCCTGCGCACTCTCCAGGCTGCGGTGGGGCTAGTCGCCACAGTCCGGAAGGTCTTGGTAGGAGTAGCCAGGGCAGCCTCTGTGGGCTTTGCAAGCGATGAGCAGGTGGTAAAACCCGGGCAGCAACACCAGGATGCCCACGATGAGAATGGCAATGGCCCGGCTGGGTCCTGCTTCGCTGAGGTAGCCCGCCAGCAGGAGGCAGCCGGTGATCAGGAGAACAGCGCCGATCAAAAACTGCAGGGCGAAGCAGGCAATGGCCTTGTAGGGAACCTTAGCGGGGCTTTCCTGACACTTTAGTAAGTGCGATCTCGCCACTCCGGGACATCTTTGGGGTTTACAGCCATCTTCGGCGGGTAAAGTGTCCTGAGGGTTCATGTGTCCATCGTCAGTGCTGGAGAGCATTGAGTATTTCACTTTGCTCCTGGGGATCCCAGCAGGCACGTTGGTGCGAGCGGGCACCATAGCCACAGAGGGGTGGGGAGCTCGCCTGCTGCCCCACACAGAGGTGTCTGGGTGCACGCGCCCCCCGCCCGCCAACGGCTCTCGGACCACGCGGAGGATTGTCTCAGCATCTCATTCACTTACTCCTCCCCGCAACCCCCCAATTAACTCCTGGTGGGCGACAGCTGGTTTCTGATGGAATCCCTCTTTTATCATGCAAAGCTACAATCCTTTGGTTTGATGGTATATTGGTTCTATTTGTTACATTCTTAGGCCACTACTAGTAAACTCCCAGACTTTATCGTTAAATTTAGATGGAATAGATTATATTAGGTTTATTAGATTTCATTCAATTTCACAGGATTTCCATTTCCTCTAAAAGTTCATAATCACATCTCATTCTTGTCTTATCTTCTCTTTCATTAGTCTAACACAGTGGTTCTCAACCTTCCTAATGCCGCGACCCTTTAATACAGTTCCTCATGTTGTGGTGACCCCCAATTTCATTATTACAAATTGAACATAATTAAAGCATAGTGATTAATCACAAAAACAATATGTAATTATATATGTGTTTTTCGATGGTCTTAGGCGACCCCTGTGAAAGGGTCGTTCGACCCCTCAAAGGGGTCGCGACCCACAGTTGAGAACCGCTAGCATGAAGCAAGCATAGCTAATCTGATCAGCCTCAAATGGAACCAAACCTGAGTGAACTCCTGGCTCTGCTTCTGGTAGGGGATTTGGGGACTGGAACAGGCCGTGTTCCCCTGGGCAGGATCGCTTCCTGGGGCTCTTTGTCCATCAGAGTGGACGAATGAAACCACAGAGGGAAGATGGTATAGCAAAGGTGGAAATTGAAGAACAGGCAGAGACTCCCACTTGGGAAGGGGGAAAGAGTCCCACCTAGTTCCTTTTTCCATGGTTTATAAAGGCTGCAGGGTTTGGGGTTTTTTTTGTACCTCCATATCCCCTCTGATTGGTCGGTATTCCCTTTGATTTGGTTACTATAGTAACTCCTTAGCTCAAAGGTCAAACCTCACCTGGGACTGTGAGGCCCTCCTCCCTCACTGTTCTCCTATTCCCTCTGGGCTTTCTTCCTCCTTCTTTATTTTTAAATTTAGACATTTTGCTACTCCCAGTTCCCTTGTCTTATGGAAATGTAACTGCTGCCTCTTCCAACTGCCTGTCTGATGGAAATGTAACCTTTTGTAACTCTAACCCTGTGTTTTTTTCATGGGTCCCCTTAATTTTAAAAATTCCCCAAACCTGCCTATTTCACCCCTAAAAATTCCTATTTTACTACTTCCTTCTGTAAAATGGGCATTGTAACATGCGCTGCGTAAGACTCTGAATACTTACTGAATGAAGTCTGCAAGCTGCCTTGCTTATAGCAGTTGCTCTCCATAAAACTTCAAGGCATTTCATCCCTACTAGTATTGGGGGCTCATTATATAGATAACAGCTCTCCTGCAAGTTGTATTACCTGGACATTGAACTGGATGCCTTTGGGGGGTGATGTGCCCTTGGGAATACTAGGGCTTGTTCAGAAGCAGGGTGGTTTTATATCAGGCTTTTGCAGAAGTGGTTTCTACTCAATGAGAGGCTGAATTGGAAACCTCTATATTCTTCTCTCTCAACTCCTATTAGAGTTTTGACCTGAACAACAGCCTCTGCTTCAAGGTGTTAGGTGGCTCAGGAGGCACTGTAAGAAATAAAGAGAGCCGAGTCAATCAGAAAAGAAAGAAAAAGAAAGGTTTTAATCTGCGTCCCCGGGCGACCCAGGAACACCAAAGACAGGGCCAGTGGATTCGCACCAGCAGGGAAGGGGGGTTTCTTTTTATACAGGTGTTTAATGAGGGGTGAGGGCATGAGCTGAGGAAGCGCCCACCTAGGGGGCTATCAGGGTATTCAGCTGAGGAAGTCCCGGCCACAGGTGTGGGCAGGGCATTCAGGAAGGAGTCAGTATCTGTGTGGGGGTCGTCATGGATTTCAGGGAGGAGCCTGTATCTGTGTCTGGCATGCTGACCTGTTAGAAATTCCAGGGAGGGTCCATTATTTCATCACACACCTGCATGTAACCGATTCTGGGCTCTCCGACCTAACACAAGGTTCTTCACCCAACAAATGTATGATTTTCCCCTTTTCTGTGCTGATTACTTCCTACTAATCTGTTCCTTCTGTGGACTAAAGGGGCCACATGCTGACCTGACAAGCTCAGGGGAGGCCTGCATGGCGGACTTGCAAACTCAGAGACCTACAGTAATCACAAAGCATGGCCTGAAATTAAACTTTAACCAAAAGCAGTTGTGGTGGGTAGTTACATCCTAGGCCGGTATCTTCACTAACAAGGTCAACCTTTACCTTAACTGAGCCTATCTGTCTTTTTGCATCTACAATAGCATATCCTTGAAGTGTCTGGGTAACTTGAAACTTCCTTTTTCCTGGACCCCTTGGGGCACAACCTAATGTGCCTGGGCTCCAGGACAGAGACCACAATTCCTTCATTGTTATCATGTTCATTGTTCCTGCACCCACCTAAGTATGTGTCCATCATTTTACTTTTCATCCAATCACAGAGGTTTCCCTGCTTTGCTTTCTCCCGCCTCTCTAGTCTATCACCAAAGAACTTCATGTAACACTCCTCTGATCGCAATGTATAAAAATAGAGAAAACCCGCCATTCTCTGGAGCATTATCTCACTTCATCGAGGTTCTGCTTCCTGGCAATTTTGACAGTTTGGCTCAAATAAACACAAAAAATTCTTCACAGGTTTGAATGTTTTTTTACGTTAACACTTCTTAGTAGAGTACAATTCATCTTAAAATTTATCACCCACTATAGTCATTATGCCATTTAATTCAATTTAACCTCATTTGGAATATGTATTTTAAATTCAAACAGTGACTTCCATTTTCTAAATGTATTCTTTTGTATTTGGTATTACCTTGCTATCCAAACTAGAATATAAACTTCTCTGCGGAAGTAACTGTATTTCTTCAAAATTTTCTTAACTACAGAGAGCATAGCAGTGAGCCCGTTGCTTTTAGTAAACCCAGTGTTCATTGGTTAAATTTGATACAAAATGTAAATATATAACAAGACAAGTCTCCCTTCAAGTATTTAAATTTAAATTATAATATTACTATTATTATCACAGTATTTTATAATGCCCAATCTCTTCTCCCTAACATCTCTCAAACATCATCCCCATACACCAAGGTTGTGGGTTAGATCCCCATCATGGCACATACTAGAATCAACAAATGAATGCATAAAAAAGTGGAACAACAAATCCATGTCTGTGTGTGTGTGTGTGTGTGTGTGTGTGTGTGTGTGTCTCACAATCAATATTATTTATTTTTTAATATATATTTTATTGATTTTTTTACAGAGAGGGATAGAGAGTGAGAAACATCGATGAGAGAGAAACATCCATCAGCTGCCTCCTGCACACCTCCTACTGGGGATGTGCTAGCAACCAAGGTACATACCCTTGACTGGAATTGAACCTGGGACCTTTCAGTCTGCAGGCAATGCTCTATCTACTGAGCCAAACCAGTTAGGGCTCAAAATCAATATATTAAAAGAAATTTTAGTGATCTGGTAAAGTATTAAATAGATCCATGTGCTTTCATAAGAGTTCTTTATTTCAACATTCACAATTATTTTAAATCAAAGAATTAATGTTTAATTACATTAATAAAATAAATTTTAATGTTTCACTGATACTCAATTTAATTGTAGTTAAAGAAAAAATACACACTACAGAAAACTCAGATCATTTATAATTCCTATTACATGCTTCCTGTTTTTCAATTTTAATACAGGATATCAATGCAGACTATCTCCTAAATCATTTTAATTTTTGAAATTTCAAAGTGTTTATCAATATCCTGACAACTAATCTAAACACAGTTTACTCATTTTTTATTAATAAAGTATTATAATTAACATTTGCATAAGAACCACAAATTAATGTGTATATTAAAATAGCCTCTCTAGTTAGATTTTTTTAGAATTCTTTTACACTGATTTTACTCCTCATTTAAATCCCAGATGAACTTCAAAGGCACACCTTTCATATCCCTTTGGAATATTTTGTCAAATCTTTCATTTTGCTCTACTGACAAGTGATGTTTCCAGTCTCCAACGGTACCTAGAAATAAGCACATGATCAGCACCTGGGTGAGTAGGTGGCACTATCAGGGCAAGAGTTTCTTCCCACCCACTTTCATCTCCTCTTCAAGCCACGCTAAATATCTGGTAGTTCTCCATGGGTTTGATACTTCATGTTTCCTTATACAGAATGAACTAAGAAACAAACTGAAAAACACTTCTGTAGTTCACTATCCTTAGCTATTATGCTTTCACCAACCACTACCATTAAATTATAACCTTTATTGAGATGGTATAACAAAAGTAAAATAGAGGACTAGTTTAGAATTTTTTCATATATTTTACTAAATTCCAGGCACTAAAGAAATACAAGTACCATATCATTTCACTCATATGTGGAATTTAATGAACAAACTGAACGAACAAGCAAAATAGGTAGATTCATAGATAGAGAGTAGACAGATAACTCTGATATGGGGTAACTATTGGGAGTGTAGGGTGGAGAGAATGAGGAATAAAAAGAGAAGGAACTCATGGACATGGACAACAGTGTAGTGATTGAGCGAGGGAGAGAGGTGGGTAGAGGTGGAAGATGGGATGAGGGGATAAATGGGAATGTTGAAAGAATAAAATAAAGAGAAAATATATATCTAAAATTAAAAAAAATAAATGCCGGGCACAGTAGTTGGCAAACTATATCTATCATGTAAATTAATTCTTAACACAACTCCACAATATCAGCATTTCTTCATTTTTAAAATTGAAAGAACTGAAGGGATTAAGAAGTACAAACTGGTCATTACAAAATACTCATGGCATGTAAAATACAAAAAGACTATATGGTCAATAATATTGTAATAACTATGAATGGTGCCAGGTGGGTACTATAATTTTTGGAGGGATCACTTCATAAATTATATAAATGTCTAACCACTATGCTGTGTACCTGAAACTAATATAAAATAATCTTGAATCACAACTATAATTTAAAAAGTAAAAATAAATGAATAAAAAGCTAAAGATAAAATAAATAAAATTGAAAAGAAAGCCGGGCCAGCAGTGCTCAGTGGTTGAGTGTTCACCTATGAGCCAGGAGGTCACAGTTTTATTCCTGGTCAGGGCACATGCCCGGTTGCAGGCTCAATCCCCAGTGTGGGGCATGCAGGAGGAACCAACCAATGATTCTCTCTCATCATTGATGTTTCTATCTCTCCCTCCATCTCCCTTCCTCTCTGAAATCAATAAAAACATACTTTAAAATTTTTTAAAAAAATGAAACCCAAAGATTTTCAAGTAATGAAATCAAGGTCACAGAGGGTATTCAGAGCTGTCATTGCTTCAGTTTTACTTGCTGGAACTTAGAAACTGTCATTAAACCAATTTTTAAATGAAGATTATTTGGCATCTTCAAGTATCAAATTTTCTTATTTAAACAGTAGAGGACCAGTGCATGAAATTTTGTGCACTCGGCAGGGGTGGGGGGTCTCTCAGAATGGTCTGTGTCCTCTTGCAGTCCAGGACTCCTGAGGGGAGGTTCACCTGCCAGCTTAGGCCTGCTCCCTGGGGGGACGGGCCTAAGCTGGCAGTCAGACATTCCTCTGGCAGCCTGGGAGCCCTTGGGGGATGTCCAACAGATGGCAGCGGGCCTAAACCATCAGTCAGACATTCTTAGTGATGCTGAGGAGGTGGGAGAGGCTTGGCTTGTGGCTGAGCAGAGCTCCCCCTGTGGGAGCACACTGACCAGCAGGAGGCAGCTCCTGCATTGAGCGTATGTCCCCTGGTGGTTAGTGCATGTCATAGCCACCTGTCATTCTGCCAATAGGGTCAATTTGCATATTACCCTTTTATCATATAGGACTAGAGGCCCAGTGCACAAAAATTTGTGCACTCGGGGGAGGGGGGGAGAGTCCCTCAGCCCAGCCTGAGCCCTCTCGCAGTCTGGGACCCCTCGAAGGATGTCCACCTGCTGGCTTAGGCCTGCTCCCTGGGGTATTGGGCCTAAGCTGGTAGTCATACATCCCTCTGGCAGCCAGGGAGCCCTTGGGGGATGTCCACTTGCCAGCAGGGAGCAGGCCTAAGTTGCAGTCAGACATCCTTAGTGCTGCTGAGGAGGCAGGAGAGACTCCCGCCACTACCCCTGTACTGGCAGTCATCAGCCTGGCTTGTGGCTGAGCAGAGCTCCCCCTGTGAGAGCACACTGACTGCCAGGGGACAGCTCCTGCATTGAGCTTCTGCCCCTGGTGGTCAGTGTGTGTCATAGTGACCAGTCATTCCCAGTCGTTCTGCTGTTAGGGTCAATTTGCATATTACCCTTTCATTATATAGGATTACCATTGGCATTTGGAACAGTTGGCAAGATATTTATGGGCATTAGAATTACTTTGTATTTGGTCTAGTTAAGCAATGAGACTTAAAAGCTGATAATAAATGGGACAAAAAAGAAACACTTTTTAAAAAAATATAGCAATTTCAAGATCTTCATTACCTAAGAATAAATATCCCTCATCAAAATGCTAAGTTATGGATAAATTAGTAAATAAAATATGAATAAAAGAAGCACAAATTATGTTCTAGAAAAATGTACATTAAAAGATCAAAAAAATTTTTTAATTGAAATTAAGAAATATCAGGGGGAGAATATATTCATTCTTAATTCCTGGCATGTCATAGAGCACAATAAAAATTAATTGCATGTTGTTATTGAATACTTGAATTCATAGCGTATTGGTTTCATGAAGTATTATTCTACTTTTTACATTGAAGAAATATGATACATGAGGAAATAACTGTAACTCAAACTCCCTTCCCCACAACTAAATGCATGTTGGTTTACTTCTAGAATGTTCTAGAAACATCTAGAAATAAAGCAAAACAATAATTGGAGCTGTCCTGGTCACACGTATACATCACCTTGAGGTAAGACTTACTAACCAATTTTAAAGAGTAGGGACACGTAGACTAAAAGGAAGGAATGCAATATTGATTAATTAGGTTCAAGTGTTAGACTATGTACTGAACCATTGTGTACTTTCCTGGGATACTTTTCAGGGCCATTGGCAGTTAAGATCCTTGATTCTCTCCAGGCTCCAAATGACAGTACTTAGAGAGACGCGGTAAAAACACGCCTTCATTAGTGTAGGGGCCGCGCAATCACGGAACTCCCAACACTTTTGCTTCTAAAACCCCTGAGCATCACCTTTGCGCAGAAAATGTCCCTCATCTGTTCTTTTCCCAACTTCATATTTTAGAATCTCATCGTAATTGGCTCTGGGGTCAGACTGCATGTTCTGAAATGTAGCCTGTTCCACAATAGCTTCCACATCCTCTTCACCCAGTTCTTTCTCAAGAAAACGGCTGATTTTAAGCACAGAACTTCTGCGATCCTGAAAGAATTGTGGGTATGAGAAACTATTCAGCTTACAAAGAATGCACGAGTTACATCCCAACATCTTCATCACATTTTGGAAAACTGAAGGTGATTGGACTTATTGTAAGTCTAAAGTTTGACAAAGATACATTACTTCCCTATTCCTTCTATGAAAATGAGTGCTCCGCTTGTCAGCTTTGTTAGAGCTTTCTACTGTTTGATTTTATAAGGACAACTCACCTTCATTCACTCATTCATTCATTCAACTAGCACTTTTAGGAATGTTAGGTTTCAGAAACTGTGTTAGGTGCTGGAGAAGTTTAAGAGAACAATAACGTGCTATCTGTGCTTGTTAAGAGTTGACAGTTTCATGAGGGAAAGAGTAAAGCAAGTAATTAAATACAATGGTTACAAAAAAGGAAAGTCCAAGTTTGGTGGCTTCATTGGTTATTCTACCAAACACAAATTAAAGAAGAATTAATATCAATCCTCAAACTCTTCAAAAAAATGAAAGAGGAGGAAATACTTCCAAACTCATTCTATAAGGCCAGCATTACCCTGATACCAAAGCCAAATGAGAACACGACAGGAAAAGAAAACTAAAAACCAATATTATTTATGTAAGATAAGATACAAAAATCCTCAAGAAATCACTAGCAAAACAATTTAAGTACTGAGTTAAAAGAACTGTACATTATGAACAAGTGGGATTTACTCCTTGAATGCAAAGATAAACAGCCCTACTTGGTTTGGCTCAGGGGGTAGAGCCTCAGCTTTCAGACTGAAGGGTCCAGGGTTTGATTTCAGTCAAGGGCATGTACCACAATTACAAGCTCCTCCCCAATCTGGGCCCTGGTTAGGGCACGTGCAGTAGGCAACCAATCAAGGTGTTTCTCTCACATCAATATTTCTCTCTGTCTTTCCCTTTCTCTGTCTTTACTCTCCCTAAAAATCAATGGGAAAATATCTTCTGGTGAGGATTAACAACTACAACAAAAGATCAGGAACAAGGCAAGGATGCCAATTCTCCCCATTTATATCCAGCCTAATACTGGAAGTCCTAGCCATAGTAAATAGACAAGAAAAAGGCATCCAAATTTAAAGAAAGACGTAAAATTATGTGTTCACATACACTATGATTATATACATAGAAAACACTATAGATCTACAAAAAACAAACAAACAAAAAAACCCTGTTAGAACTATACTAAAAAAAACCCCCAGCAAACTTTTAGATACCAAACCAACATCCTCAAATCATTTGCATTTATTTACACTAACAATGAAAAGTGGTTTACCAAAATGGTCTCTAACTAGTTTGCCTATATTTACTATTATCACTTTTAAACCCATTAGAGGGAATTACATTCTGAAGGTACTAATTCTATCATTGCTATTCTTCTAATAACTGTCAAAGGGCTCATTATTGCTTTTAAGATGAAGAAATTACTATCACTAACAAAGACTACAGACCTTGCATGGTCTGGCTTCTACTGTATACACCTCTCTATCTTAATCTTTCATTCCATCCACCTTGCTCTTTAACTTCTTCCTTCCAAGATATCATGCACTTGACAGATTCAGATAATTTGCACATTCTCTCTTCTTGACTTAGACTTCTCTTTTACTTCTCTGCCAACTCATATCTATTCGCTTGAAGTTGTCATGTTACTTTTCCAGAAATAATTGCCTATTACTTATTCCAGATCAGTATATTTCATGTACTATCATACCTGCACTTTTCCTTGATAACAGTTATCACAGGTTTGAAGTATATATACCTGCTTAGTGAATACTTGTCTTTCCTGTTGGATTATAAATTCTATAAATAAAGGGTTCAGTTGTCTTTGTCTGATGATTTAGGGTCTGTCACATAATAGGCATTTTATAATTTTGAATTAATGAGCAAGATATGTAGCAGTGAGTCAATATATCAACCAGAGATCACAAAATAGTGAACTTCAAATGTGTTTGGTTTGGTTTACACAATGCATTAAGACAGTTTTCATTGGATGCCAACATGTAAATATTATGTGATTTCCATGAAAGCTACATTTCAAGATTCTCTTTAATAAAAACAACAACAAAACACAAAGAACTCGCATCACTGGGCACACAATTACCTCTGACTAATGGGCCAAATCTTAGTGGTTTCTCGCCCCAGGGTTGTTTTTGTTTGTTGTTTGTTTGTTTAATATTTTTGTTGATTTTTAGAGAGAGAGGGAAAGAGAGGTAGAGAAACATCGTGCCTCATACCAGGGATCAAGCGTGAAACCCAGGCCCTGCCTGGGGATCGAACCAGCAACCCTTTAGTGCATAGGATGACAATCAGCTAGTCACACTGGCCAGGGCTGGCCCCACTGTTTCGAAATGCCTTTTCTCTTTTTTCAATCACTAGTCATGTGAGTTTGCCCTTATTGACACAGATGGGTGCATGAAAAGGAACCACAAAAGATGACTGTGTACAGTGGGAAGAGAGCCCTGAGGAAACCAATAATTGAGGGATGGGCAGGAAATGAGAAACCCCTGAAAAAGCATGAGAAGTAGTTAGGTTCCAAGAAAACTGGGAAAATGTAGTTCATTAAAACCAAAATCAAAAAGGGTTTCAAAGAAATAATTTTTAAAAATAACCTTTGCCTCTTACCTTTTTCATTTCCTCATACATCATAAACAGAATACTGAAGTCATGTCTGTGCTCATACCAGCCTCTGACGTGATCAAACCAACGGCTTCCTACCACTGGGGATGGAAATTAGTAAGTGACAAGGTAAAGATGCTGCACTCACCAAACAGCAAACCTGAGTCTTTCTTTTCTGTTTTGGAATCCCCTGGAAGGAAAGTACAGCCCCCACCACTGGACATCTATGTTACCTGGTAAAAATGGTGCTTTGGGAAACAATTTCATGATTTTAATGGAAATCTGCCTCTCCTATGCATGTAGGAAAAGCAGCAGAGGAGAAAATAAGCCCAAGCAACTCATTGTGAAGATTGAAGGGAAGCTCCTTACTTTCTTACTTCTTCCACCTGAAAATCTGTCTTTATTTCTCCTTTTATTATCTATTTTAAGATGTCTGGATAGCAACTTCAGATATCTATAAGACAGAACCTGAATCTAATCTTCTAAATAAGTGAGAGTCCCAGTTCCACATTCCACAAGCCTCTCCCATCAATCTATCCTCCTCAGTGTTGAAATGAATATTGCACCGCTGCCATATAAAGCCTACCATAAGTCCATGACAGAACACAAACACTACATCCGCTTTGAATGGGTACACCATTGTGGTTCTCTTACGATCTGGTCAAACTGTTTCTTAAACAACATGCCTTTGCAATCATAGCAATCCCCAAAGTGGTCCTGGTGAGAATAGAAAGGCCATTGGGTGGCAAATTAAATTAATAGAGCAGTAACCACTTATGTGCATCCAGCTTCTATCATTACTCTTCTTTCTTTCCTTAAAATGTGTTCCCCAGGTTTGAGAATTTGGCTAAATGGCAACATGGCTTCATAAACAAGTTGAATGCATAAATTCATAGTTACCATTTCCATCTAGAAACCTTTTCATGAAATGTTCCATATCATTCGCAGCTTCAAGTGCAACCACCATATTTGAAAAGTGAAAGAATGAAGTCATAACATCCTTGGGGTTTCTGTAGACGTAAATAATCTGCAGGAGGTATAGTAAAATAATTTTAACAATTCTTGGTTGTCCTTACAGGTTGTTTTTGTTTTTGTCATTGTTTATTCACACCAACATATGTCACTATATGAATAGTGACACTAGATGAATAGTTGTTTCATCCAGCTTATTACTCATGGAAATTTAGTTTATACCTAAATAGGTTATACCTTTTATTTCTAAAAGTACAATTATTCATTTGTAAGGTTGGTTAATATTACAAATTACCCTGCATAGAAACTCTTTCAGCCCTAACTGGTTCTGCTCATTGGAGATAGTGTCGGCCTGCAGACTGAAGAGTCCCAGATTTGATTCCTGTCAAGGGCATGTACCTTGGTTGTGGGCACATCCCCAGTAGGGAGTGTGCAGGAGGCAGCTGATCGATGTTTCTCTCTCATCAATGTTCCTAACTCTCTATCCCTTTCCCTTTCTCTCTGTAAAAAATCAATAAAATATTTTAAAAAAGAAAATATAGACACTGTTTCAATGTACCCTCTGTTAGCGTTAAGAGACATTTGATAAAAAGCCCAGATAGCATTTGAGAGCATTTCAAAAAGGAAAAACTACTTAACAGGTGATGTTGAAACAAATAATTATCCTTATAGTATACAACTGGAATTCTAATTCATACCTCACACCAGACCAAAAAAAAAAAAATCATTTACAAATGTAATAAGGATTTAAATATGAAAGCAACATTTGACATCTTAAAAATAAAGAATATATTTCTGGACTAGAAAAGGAAAAGATTTCTTTAAAAAAATTTATTTCTGTTAAAATAAAAATTAATCAATTAAATTATATTAAGTTTTAAAGAATGCTATTAATCATAATAGATAACATAAAGTTACAAAAAGCAACAAAGGATGAGAAAAGCAACACATATAACCAATAATTTATTAGTATCCAGAATGTATATAAAAGAAATCAATAAGAAAGAGACATGAAATTTAAAAATTGGACGAAAATTATAATAATTCCACAGAATAAGAAATAATTATGGCCAATAAACATATCAAAAAGTGCTTAATCTCATTATAGATTAGGAAGATGTAAACTCAGATTAGTTTGAGATATCATTTTATAATTTATATAAAAACTAAAAAGTTTGGCCCTAACCTGTTTGGCTTAGTGGATAGAGCATGAGACTGTGGACCGAAGGGTCCTAGGTTTGATTCTGGTCAAGGGCAGGTACCTAGGTTGCAGGCTCCTCCTGGCCTGGATGCTGGTTGGGGCTCATGCAGGAGGCAACCAATCAATGTGTTTCCCTCACATTGATATTTCTCTCTATCTTCCCTCTCTCTTCTACTCTCCCAAATATTAATGGAAAAATATCCTTGGGTGAGGATTAAAAAAAAGAAAAAAGAATGTGTATTACGATATAATATATACATTTCCTGCAACTTACCTATCCGTCAATACACAAAACATTGTAGAGCCATAGAATAAATTCTACTAGACCATTAAAAAGAATAGAATTTTATGTGCTGTCATCAAAGAAATGTTGCTGCTTACTATACAATCACAGTACAAGCAATGTGTGGGATGACCCAATTTATGTATATACTTATAATTCCATATATATTTATCTTTGCTAATTTTAATGTAAAACACATAGAAAAAAAAGTTGGGCACATTTCCTTGGCATATTTGGAGTGGTTAAAAAGAAAGAAAAAGCTGCAAATAGTTTTGAGATAGATGGCATAATTATTGACATTGTTAATAAAATCTTAATTCAGGGTTGGAAATAAATTATTTTTAAAAATAAATTATTTTTACAGGTACCATATGGACTCAGCAGATATTAAGCTTGATAATGTGTAAAACAGTATCAAAGATTACAATAATCACATTTGAAAGACTATGGATGAGTGGGGCTGGGAAAAAATATTTGAAGAAAGTATTTTTGTTTGTGCCAAAGGTCCATAAGCTATTTATATGACTTACTTTAGCTTTTTTGCTCTTGAGACCTTTTGGTACTAAATAATATGGAAGGTGGGAACAGAAGAGGCGAGGAGACAGTCTGTTGAGAAAGTCTGTTTTGCGTATATTGTATTCCAAGAAGGGGATTCTAACAAGCGTTGCCAAGTCTTCAGTTCTGTTACGATGACCCTCAAAATAAATCAAGCTGAGAATCTGCTGAGTCCAGATGGTACCTGTAAAAAGAAATAATTTCATTTCCAACTCGGAATTAATGTTTTATTAACAATGTAAATTATTATGCCATCTATCTCAAAACTATTTAGAGCTTTTTCTTTCTTTTTAATCACTCAAAATATGCCAAGGAAATGTGCCCAACTTTTTTTTTCTATGTCTTTTACATTAAAATTAGCAAAGATAAAATTAGGTGTTCTAAGTTCCCTTTTTACTCAAAAAGACTTGTGACAGTAGTGATTTAGATCAATCCTTCAGCTCTTTTGTTCCCTGTGATTCATGTACGTTCTGTTCAGGTGATTTTCTGCGGCCATCTCTGTTTCTCCTTCCTTAGTCTTTCTTAAAGCTTTACCTTTTGGAAATAGAGACAGTTTAAGAGCTCAAGACCCCTTTCAACTTTTCTTTTTAGGTCTCCCAATACAGTGCTAAGTGAAAGTACTGATAGGCATTCTTGTCTCATACTTGATTTTTAAAGTTACACTATTGCATTTGATGTTTGTGATAGTTTTTGGTAGATTCTATTCATCAGGTTAAAAATGTTCACTTTCTCCCTTGTTTGCTAATACTCTCCTTTAGGAATGTATGCTGAATTTTATTAAATGCTTGTTCTGCACCTGTTGAGATGATAATTCAGACTTCTTTCTATGCTCTAGTAATGTGGGTGAACTGCATTCATATATGTTTAAACCAATCTTGAAGTAAAGCCACCTTGGTCACAGTGGTATTTTTTTTGCTTGTTTTTTTGGCATTGCTAGATTTGTTTTTGCTTATATTTATTTGGTATAGGATTTTTGCGCCTATGTTCATGAATATATAATCAATGTACTAAAGAATGTGAGGTGTCAATAATCTTCCAATCATTGCTACTCACTTGAGTAGACTTAATAGATACAGTAGGTTTGATAAAGTGTATGGTGAATTCTGGAAAGTCACTAATATCCCCTTAAGATGAGTAAGAACTCATCAGGTTGGACTAAGGACTGGTGTGTGGTGTGCCAAATACTTAGGCTGGATTAAGGGTAAAGGAAAAATTCTTATGGGCTGCTAAGCAATCTGAGGCACCACCCACATCTAAGGGAGGAAAATAAAAAACAACTGATATCAAACGTGCTGACACATTTTGCAGAGTAGAAAAACCCAGGGAAAAGGCATTGTATTACTAATTTGGGGAAAGTAAACAGGGTCCTGAATTTCTAAGTCAATGGTAAACAGAGGGACTGGAGCACTTTCATGAAAATCAGGAATGACTGTTTTGTGTTGACTTTGACTCCAATGTATCTCTGAGCAATATTAACCACTTGTACAACATTGATTCAAGAACACCAATCACCCTGTGTTCTAAAAAGCACATATAAAAGATAAGCTTTTAAGGGGGATGTAAAATTTGAGGACAATTTACTTTAGTTCAAAAGTATTTCGTTATTATAGGGAAATAAAAGCAATTAGAGTAATTGAAAAGCATATTAGGAATTAGTTCTGACTGAGAGATGCTTCTAACCAAAAGCCTGCTGGGTTTTTTAAATATATTTTCTTCCATTCTCAGAGAAAGCCAACAGCTCAGCATGGCCCTAATATCTGCTTTGGCTCAATATTTGGTTTCTTCTGAGGTGCCTTAAAAGATGACAATATATGCATTTTAAATGACCTTATATAGTAACACTTTGAGATTTATTTAACTTTATTAAAAATCTTAAATGGTGCTCTAAATGTAGGCTGGGCTACTGTTAATGTCTGGAAAAGGGCTCATTTGTACACATGTATTATCAAACCAGAGTGAAAACTGATAGCAGGCAGTCCACTCCTCAAACTTACCAGATTTTGGATACGTAATTATGAAGACATCATCATCTCTAATTTCAAAGTCATCTAGATTTTCTAGAAAGTCAACATCAACTAAAGGAGATTCAAAATTATAGCCTTTAAAGTTCAGCAAATATGTGTCTTTGTTGTCCATACTTATTCACCTACAAGTAAAAACAAATAAAATACTTTTCAATTTCTTAGTATTTTATATTATGTACTAACACTTACTGAGTATTCAATATGTGCCAAGCACCTTTTAAATGTCATGTGTCTCGACCGATGCCATAACTAAACAGCATCCTATATAATAAAACTCTAATATGCAAATCGACTGAATGGCAGAATGACCAGTCACTATGATGCACACTGACCACCAGAGGGCAGATGCTCAATGCAGGAATTGCCCCTGAGGGTCAGTGTGCTCCCACAGCGGGAGTGCTGCTCAGCAAGAAGTGGGTTCATGGCTGGCAAAGGCAGCAGCAGTGGTGGGAGCCTCTCCTGCCTCCACTGCAGGTGGGTGGTACAAAGTGAGGGATGCCAGACTGTGAGAGCTCGGGACTGTGAGAGGGATGTCTGACTGCCGTCTTAGGCCTGACACCCCTTGCAGGCGGACATCCTCAACAGGTCCCGGATTGGAAGAGGGCACAGGCCAGTCTGAGGGCCCTACCTCCCCGCCCCGCAGTGCACGAATCTGTGCACCAGGCCTCTAGTGCATATATAAAAATTTACTCTTGGGGACAACCAAGATGGTGGCATAGGTAAACACCTGAATTTGATACTGCACACAACCACATTAAAAGTACAACTAAAAGACAAACCAAATATCATCCAGAAACATGGGAAGGCTGCTTGAGTAGAAATTCTACAACTAGAAGGAAAGAGAAAAGTGCTTTGAGTCTGGTAGGAGGTGCAGAGATGTGGATGAGTGGAAGTATGGAGGCACATGAGAAAGGGGCTGGCAGCTGGGTACACTGTTGTCTTTTTTAATCGGGAGGGAGATACAAGCTCCCCACTGCTCTGAACTCCAGTTCTGGGTGAGACTTTGGGGACCCAGCCTCATACAGAGAGAGACTGGATTGTCTGGCATCAGGCTGGAATGTGAGGGCAGCTTTCTTGCAAAGGTGCTTGCAGTGGTCATTGTTCCTGCACGGGGCAGCGGGACATGGACCCCAGGACCTCTCTGAGGCAGAGCAGTATGCCAAATGGCAGCCATTGCGATTTGCTCTGCCCTGGTGATTTCCTGAGACCCCGCTCCACCCAATTTACAACCCCACCCAAGCTGTGCACAAAGGCTTTTGCATATGAATGGCCTGGTGTTTCTCCGCCTAAAAACCTGGGCAGACTCATTGAGCGCCAAAGCCCCACTGAAGCAAGTCCTGCCCCATAAAGGTGTCTCCAGCAAAGAAGTTCTCCCATTGTAGACAAAACTGGCCCTCACAGACTATTGTCCTGGAGGTCAATTACTCCCAGTGACACCAACAGCAATCAAGGCTTAACTACAACAAGACTGTGCACACAGCCTACAAAGGGGTGCACCAAGAATGTCCACCTTAGGTAATTAGGGAGGCTGAGCCACTGGGCCCGTTAGGACACCTAGTACACAAAGGTACTCTATCCACACAGGGAAGCAGCCAAAATGCAGAGACAAAGAAACAGGTCACAAATGAAAGAAATGGAGGAAAGCAAACTACTGGATATAGAGTTCAAAACCACAGTTATAAGGTTACTCAAGAATCTTCTAGAAACCTCTGAGAAATATACTGAGACCCTCAAGGATATGAAAAAGGACCAATTAGAAATTAAGCATACACTGACTGAAATAAAGAATAATATACAGAGATCCAACAGCAGACTAGAGGATCCCAAAAATCAAGTCAAAGATTTGAAATACGAAGAAGCAAAAAACACCCAACCAGAAAAGCAAAAGGAAAAAAGAATACAAAAATATGAAGTGCATTGAGTCTGGTAGGAGGTGCAGGGACAACTTCAAGCATACCAACAATCCGAATTATAGGGGTGCCAGAAGAAGAGAGAGAGCAAGATATTGAAAACCTATTTGAAGAAATAATGACAGAAAACTTCCCCTACCTGGTGAAAGAAATAGACTTACAAGTCCAGGAAGTACAGCGAACCCCAAACAAAAGGAATCCAAAGAGGACCACACCAAGACACATCATAATTAAAATGCCAAGGGCAAAAGACAAAGAGAAAATATTAAAAGCAGCAAGAGAAAAACAGTTAATTACCTACAAGGGATTACCCATACGACTGTCAGCTGATTTCTCAACAGAAACTATGCAGGCCAGAAGGGAATGGCAAGAAATATTCAAAGTGATGAATAGCAAGAACCTACAACCAAGATTACTCTACCCAGCAAAGCTATCATTTAGAATTGAAGGTCAGCCCTAACCAGTTTGGCTCAGTGGATAGAGCATCGGCTTGCGGACTGAAAGGTCCCAGGTTCAATTCCAGTCAAGGGCATGTGCCTTGGTTGTGGGCACATCCCCAGTAGGGGGTGTGCAGGAGGCAGCTGATTGGTGTTTCTAACTCTCTATCCCTCTCTCTTCCTCTCTGTAAAAAATCAATAAAATATATTTTAAAAAAATAGAATTGAAGGTCAGATAAAGAGCTTCACAGATAAGAAAAAGCTAAAGAAGTTCATCATCGCCAACCCAGTATTATATGAAATGCTGAACAGTATTCTTTAAGAAGAGAAAGAGGAAGAAAAAGATAAAGATTAAAATTATGAACAACAAAGTGACAACAAATACATATCTATCAACAAGTGAATCTAAAAATCAAGTGAATAAAAAATCTGATGAACAGAATAAACTGGTGAATAGAATAGAATCAGGGGCATAGAAAGGGAGTGGAACTGACAATTCTAGGGGGGAAGGTGGGTGTGGGGGGTGAGGGAAGAGACTAGACAAAAATCGTACACCAATGGATGAGGACAGTGCGGGGGAGGGGGGGGTAAGGGCAGGGGATGGGGTGGGAGCCAGGTGGAGGGGAGCTATGGGGGGGACAAAGAGGAACAACTGTAATAATCTGAACAATAAAGATTTATTTTTAAAAATTTACTCTTAATAGCAACCAAACATTTCTAGAGGTTTTATCATTATTTTAAAGAGGAGGAAACTAAGATACTAAAAGGTTAAACAGCTTTTTTTAAAACCCCATGAGGGAGGTATTATCATGATTCCAAACACAGAACCAAGGAAAATAAGGTAAAGGAGGTGCAAGGTTGCCCAGCTGGCAGACCTGGCAGGATTTGATGCCAGACTATTTGGCCACAGAGCCCATGCCTTCAATCACTTTACTGATACAGTTTCTTAGTATTTCATATTTTTATTATTATAGAAATAGGAAAATTTCCAATAAATGTACTTTTTTTTCTGGAACAGAAATAATCTGTTGTCCCTGAAAGAAGCTTCTGAGGCTTTGGGATCTATCTGCCATTTCAAATAAATTGTGGAATATGCTATGTGTGTAACACCACCTGCTTTTACTTTGGAGATGTCACCCTCATATAGTTGCAAACTATTGTATGGTTTTTATTACATTTTCCAATAGAACTTTTATCATAAATCCTAAATAAATCTAAATAAGAGAGTCCAAATATAAATAGGAAGCACATAGGTTAAAGACATATCTGTTAAAAAATTGGGCAGAAATATATATATATATATATATAATGTCCTCATCCATTGGTGTACGATTTTTGTCTAGTCTCTTCCCTCACCCCCCACACCCACCTTCCCCCCTAGAATTGTCAGTCCACTCCCTTTCTATGCCCCTGATTCTCCCTCTGAGAGAGAAAGAGAGATAGAAACATCAATGATGTTCTGCCTTCTGCATGCCCCCTTCTGGGAATTGAACCCACTATCCAGGCATGTTCCCTGACCAGGAATCAAACCATGATCCCTGATTCATAGGTTGACGCTCAAACACTGAGCAAAACCAGCTGAGCGAAAAATCTATTCTTGAATGTTAAATAGATGAGGAAATCCCAGAAGTTCTAATAACACTAGGTTTAAGACCAACACATATGTTAGTCATGTACTTTTAAAAATTTTCTGTGCACACCTAGAAAATGAATTTGTTAAAGTTGCAAATATGGCTTTGTCTAAATTGCATGTCAAAAAACATTAATTCTTTTACAAACAATCTAAATCATCTGCCCAATAGAGGAAAATCAGAGGTGAGAATTGTGCTGAGTTAGAGTAGAAACATCACTTGTATTAGAATTGCCTGGGTTTGGGTAAATGTTCATATTCTAGGCCTATAACAGACTGATAGGATTAGAATTTCTGGAAAGTGTGCATTTTAACAATCCTGCGGATCACACTTAAAAAAAAGGGGGGGGGGGAACCAAAATACTGTTTTTTGAATGGTTATCTCAACCTCCAGAGAAGGCTTTGTGGGTGTTATTTGATCTCCAATTAATAGATCCAGTTGAGGCCTTACTAAGTTGCTAGAGCTTTCCTGACTCAAGGTGAAGTCCAGGCAACCTCAACTATTGAGAAGTGAGGATAGAGAAGACTGGCTGGTAAATCAGAAAATGCTTTCAAGAGATAGATGGAGTGTTATGACTTTGCTATTATGAAATTTTCCAGGAAAAACTTCCGTGGATAACTCAACCTTTAGAGTGTGGTGAGGAAGAATTTATACTGTATCACATGGACACACACACCGAAAAGCACCAATTCCAGGAATTCTTGATTCAGAGCAAAGAGTGTCAGGCAGCCCACAAATACATTCTAAAATCACTCCTTTTAACTACTTATTATATTTAGTATGTCTTTCACAGTCAAGAGAGAACAAGCTATTTTGTCACAGAAACAAGGAGGAAAGAGTAGAGTGTAGGATGCATTTTTATATAGGATCTCGGGACTGGCCAGTCATATATTGTTTGAATTTCCTTAATGAATATAGGAGAAAGTATAAAGAAAAAAATGTCCTGTGTTTTCCTTATTCTTACCCTGCGTCCAAAAGAAAAGGAAGAAAAACAGAATATTGAGGAGAGAGAAATAAATTGTATGCTGAAGAGAGGGTAAGACTTGATAGAGGCTCTATGTCTACGTTTTCACTACTCACTGTTACACGTCAATTGATGAAACAAAATCCACTTCTGATATAACTGCATGGATGACAGGGAATGCTGTGTTGCTGAGAAATAAATACTCCCTACAAGTGTATTTTGGCCAATGAGAAGTGCTCTAGGGAGTCAACAGATAGCTCAGTTTGAGTAAATAAATTAGGTAATACTTTATTAATATTAGGAAATAGGCATCTGATTAGTCCAGATAAAGCAGGAGTCAAAACTGGTGGAGATAATAAAGAGAGCTGCATGTAACCAGTCGTCATATTTACTTAAATTGGAAACTACAACAACAACAGGTATTTGAAAGCTGTAGCAACATCTTCCTTGGGCATGAAGGATGGCTCATGAATCTTTTAGACCTATCTCAGGAGGCTGGTGTTCCTTTCCAGGTTTTTACTCCAAACATCCTATGTAAAACTGGCTATGGCTATGGGAGGTTCAAATAACTTTATAAAATCACAGTGTATTTAAATTTGTTTTCTAAAACATCCAGGGTTGTCCTTCTTAAGTGATGACCTTCCACTCCTGTTTTGTGTTTTTTTAAAAATATATTTTTTTAAAAAATAAAAATATATTTTATTGATTTTTTACAGAGAGGAAGGGAGAGGGATAGAGAGTTAGAAACATCGATGAAGGAGAAACATCAATCAGCTACCTCCTGCACACCTCTTACTGGGGATGTGCCCTAAACCAAGCTATATGCCCTTGACCGGAATCTAACCTGGGACCTTTCAGTCCATAGGCCGATGCTCTATCCCCTGAGCCAAACCGGTTAGGGCTCCACTCCTGTTTTATATTGCATTTTTTCAGGACACATTACAGAAGATGCAGCTTATCTCTTTTACATTCTACAATAATTAAACTATGTCTCACACCTGCCCTGACATCTCCCTGGAACCTTTCTCCCATTTGTCAGTTTTCTGTTACCTACATAAACTGCTCTTTGATAATAATTTTCAGGTTTCCACTAGCAATAGAATTTGATTCTAGGGGAGGTTTTTAATCCTTTCAATGAACAAGTCTTCACTGGGAAAATATACGGTTTAAGCTGAAGAGAATTTAAGCTTATAAAAGGTTCAGCCTTCTTTTCTTTCTCATAATGTTCATAAATTAAGACAATAATCACTTTTGTGAGAGTGGCATCACCTAAAGAGTAGAAATCAAAGGGAGTAGACTACTTATTAAAATGAATCGCTCAGCCAAGAAGCTCTGATTTTATATCCCAAATTTTTATTGAACTAAATGGTATAGGGGCCTTTTGAGATGTTTTTCCTGTTGTCCTTCAGTAGGCCAGTTGGCAAGAACTCTAAGTGAAAAAGATAGTATTGCATCTGTGACAAAGGAATTGTTTTAGCTTTCTCATTTCCATACCAAGCAATGATATGGTACATGCAGCAATTAAAAATATTACTAACCTTTTCGCTTCCATGGAACTTTCCACTGCTTGGTGAAATCTTATTTTCTAAGACTTTGGAGGTTGTGTCCCATTCCAATAATGGTCTGTCCAAACTACTAACTAAAGACAAAATAGAAAAAGGGATTTGAAAAAGCCCCCTATGACTGTGATACAATAACTTATTCTTCATCCTCAACCCACATACTCAATTCATCTTGTCTTTTTATATATTTTAAGAACTTGAATAATTGAGGTAGTTAAGAGCATATCACTTTATCCTATCTAATAATAGACAAACATGGTAATTGACCATACCTTCGCTATGCCTTCCATTGGCTAATCAGCATGATATGCAAATTAACCACCAACAAATATGCCGGCTAATTTGCATACTGCAGGCAGGGCGGGACAGCACCATCTCGCCTGCCCTGCCACCATCCGGGCCTGCTATCTGCGACCTGAGGTGGCAGGCGTCCGTGTGCAACCTCCGAGATTCCTCACTCTGTTCCACGCTTAATTTTAGCAATTAAGGGGTCCAGTCCATGGAAAATGCACAGGGCTACAAAGCTGCAAAGGGTACATTTCCATAAGATAAGGGAGCTGGGAACTGCAAAAGGTACACATTTACAGAATAAAGGGAAGGAATCCTCTCATTCAAAGAGGAAAGAAGAAAGCTGAGAGGGAATAGGGAAACAATAAAGGAAAAGAAGGAAGGAATCTCACATACTTCTCATGAGGTTTGAGCTCAGGAATTGCCATAGTGACCAAATGAAAGGGGAATAGTGACCAATCAGAAGGGATATCAAGGCACAAAGAACTGCAGCCTTTATGAACCATGGAAAAAAGGGACTTAGTGGGACTCTTTCCCCCACCCTATGTGGGAGTCTGTACTTGTTTCTCAATAAATTTCCACCATTTACTATTCCATCTTTCGTTCGTGGTTTCATTCTTCAACTCCACCAGACAAGAGCCTGGGAACCATCCTGCCCAGAGGAGCACCGCTTGTTCCGGTCCAATTTTCCTGTGTCATAATGGTGCATTGGCTGGGAAATTCATAAGTCAACCTCCTGCATGGCAAACAGTGAGTGTACCCATGGATTCTGTCCCTTTCCTGTCACCTGTATGATTTTGAAGGCTGATGGACACCTGCCAGCCACTTAAACTTGGTTGCCGTCTAAAAAGAGGGCATTTCCCCCTTTCTCTAGATGTACTCTCCATCTCCAGGGCCAAACAAAAAGCAGGCATGAGTCAGTCAAGTAAGAGCCACTAGGGTGACTGACACAAAAAAGTCTTCCATGTCAGGATAAACTGGTGCCAGGTCAGTTTAGAGCATTAGGCAGTCGCAAGTCAAAGCCCAGCCATCAACTGAATGAGTGCTTGGGACCCTGCCCAGCTCTGAAGATCAAAGATGCAATTCTCCTTCCTCTCCCCTCCTCCCCATGGTCCAAGATTCATGGACACTCCTACATGAGTAAGAGCCAAAGCGGGGGTGCTGGGGTGATACCAATAGCGTGAATACCGCCTCATAGGGTTTTAAACAACACATGTAATTAAACTCCAGGGGATGCAAATAAGGGTTGTTCAACCAGCATTCCAGATCCTTGCGGTTGTTTTAGACAGCCGGGAGAGAAACTGAGACACATTTCCATAACACCACACTTCTGACCTACTACATAAGCCCACTCCCCTGGCCCAGATCCAAAGCAGATTTTAATCAGAGAGTCATCTACCTTTTCTTCTGCTCTCTATCCCAGTGATATCAGGTCAAATAGCATCCAGCCAGTAGGACCGCTGCCTCCTCAGTCCGTATCCAACCACGTCTCCATTTATGTAGGCCTCTGTGGGAAGAGCTCAGGAGATTTATCTCAGTGCAGTGGCAGATGCAATGGCGTGAGCGCACTCCGCCTATACAAGCTTCCTCGGCACACCGGGAAGTGGCAGCACCCGCCTGAGCAAGCCCCTTAGAGCCCCTACATAGTACCCTGATCTTTCCTACTACTGGCTGCCCTAAGGATTGTGTAAACTTCTGATTGGTCTAAAAAGTTAGATATACTGCTGCACTTACACAATAAACTTAGATCTGTGTCACTGAACCTGGTCTCCGCGTCAGGCATGCTTCGTTAGGACTCCATCAGCCTCACCCCCGCGGGAACCCCTGCTTCATTCTGGCACCCTGAACAGGGACCCCGGCAAGAAAGTCAGGTCGGGTGAGTGCCCCTCTGTAACGATGGGAAACCTTCCCCCCTCAGCCCGAGCCCCTCAGGCTCAGGCACTCCATGCGTTGTTACAGAGCAGGTGAGTAAAGGTAACAGAAAGGGAGCTACAAAAGCTCTGGGCTATCCTAATAGCATTTAACCCCTGGCTCTCCATCACCAGCGGTGCGGACGGGGGGAACAGAAGACCCTTTACCTCCCTATTCTCCTCCAGAGCCCTCTGCCCCCGCAGATTCCTGGGCTGTTTTCAACAAGCCAAAAATAGTTTCTCAAAGCTCAAGGAAGGCTGAAACTGAGACAGAAAAAACCTCTAGCGAGGAGAAAGCAGGGGAGTCTCACCAGGAGGCTTCCTGCCGGAGTCACTCCCTCGCTCCCCTTTCAGAGCGAACAAAAAGTTTAACTGCCCAGCGGCCCCCAAGTAACCCTTTCGTGGGGGACATGGATGATAATCCATGGACGGGGATATATCAATCCTTGTGTAGCCAGAGGGATAGAGCAAAGAAGTCCTTAGGGCTAGAGACCCCTGGACTCTTTCCTGTGAATGTTAACCCCACAGCTGAAACAAATGCCACAGGATCTGCAACAATATTCCCGATATCCAAATGGTTAATGCAGAGAAAAAAAAAAAAAAAAAGAGGCCGTTGCCATGGAGAGAGAGTTCTTTGTTGGTTTTTGCTTATCTAAGGTATGAGGGTCTCAGGACCCTAGCTGCTAGCAAGCAAACTTATCTTTGTCCAGTTTTCTTCTCTTTAACCCTTCCAATACTAAAATAGACTAATACAATATACTTAAGATTACACAAGAAAGGAAGCACCTACTCTTATTAATCTAAAGAAATCCTGAATGTTTAACTTACCAGCTAAGAGTTTATAGTTCTAGTTAAATGAAATTAGAAAAAAATTATAATTGTGGTAAGTAAATGCCTAAAGTATAAAAAGAAAATCTTGTCAGTTTTAATTTAATTGATATCTCTTAATAATTATAAAAATTACTATAACCAAGGAATAACTTTGAGATATTTCATGGGCCCTGAAATGTTTTCAAAAGTTTATTCTCTCTTCTTAAAGGATTTTTTAATAAAGCCAATTTAATGTGCTTGAAATCACATGGAAAGCTTTATCAAATAAAAATTAATAAATATATGCTGGGGTCCAACCCCAGCAGGTCCAGGGGTCCCCAAAGGTGTGGATGGAGTCGGCGAAGAAGGAATGACACGGAGACAGCGTTCAGTTGATCAGCAGCCTAGCCAGGATCTCTAGCCAGGATCTCCAGCCAAGTTCTGGTCTGGATCTCCAGAGAGGTTCTGCTTAGGATCTCCAGCCAGGTTCTGTGTCCATGTTCTCTTGCTAGGTTCTCCAGGTTCTCCAGCCAGGTTCTGTAGCCATGTTCCCTCGCTAGGTTCTCCAGCCAGGTTCTGTCCAGGTTCTCCAGCCAGGTTCAGTCACCAGGTTCTAGTCAGGTTCTCTTGCCATGTTCTATAGTCAGGTTCAGTCCAGGATCTTTTGCCAT